TGCACGTTCAACTGGAGGAAGTGCCATCTTCCTTCGCTGCCCTGCCTCGCCTCGCCTCACCCCTTCTGTCAACTTGTTGGTTTTCACCTGTAGATCTTCGAGTTTGTGCTACAGAAGAAATTATACACAAATCATCATCGGTGAAATGCGAATCTTCTTGTTTGGTCTTTTCATCGGTCTTCTCAAACAGTGTATGCCCATCTACTCGCTGCTCATAGTTTTCTGTTGCATATTACAGTCCACTACAATGAGGGAGATGGTTGGTGGCAGTAGGAGGCAACCTTGTCCTACTCATGACTTCACTTCAAAAGTATCACTAAACTTTCCATTGTATGTAGCATCCTCATATGTAATATAGCTGTTGAATGAGACTGATAAAGGTTTCTGGTATTGCCTATTGTTGAAGTAGTTGCAAATTAGTTCTTGGTGGACGCTGTCGAAGGCCTTTTCAAAGTGAGTGAAGTTGAGGTTAATATCCAGTTGACTGCCATTCTATGCTCTGTTCTATGGTGATGCGATGAGCAGTGTTGCAATTTTATCCTCACATGATTTGGCTTTCCTGAAGCTAACCAGCCTGTTACCGTTGCAATTTTGAATCGAGAGCATTTTAGTCTCTACAGGATGGTGCGGCATAACATTTTGCTTGATGTGGACAGGGATGGAGCATGATTCCGCGCCATTTCCAGTTCTTGCAAAGACTGAGCTCAGCCTTCTTTGGGAGATTGATGAGGTAGTTCTTCTTCCAATTAATCGTCAGGTACCTATCCTCCCTTCCTTCCTTCCTTCTCTGCAAACCTTCTACAGTGGTGGTGTGAGAGTGTCCGCTGAAATCTCTGCGCCTATTTTCAGTGCTTCTGGTGGAATTCCATCTGGTTGTGCTGCCTTCATGGATTTCAGTGACTGTATGACGTTCAGGACTTCCCTTCTGCTTTTATCACAGAGCTTGTGTTCACTAGTAAATCTGTGTCTGGGCTGGTGTTGGGTGGTACTTCTGGACGAGTTGCATTTAGTGGTGGTGATGAATTCAAATGTTTTTTAAGTGGTCACCCCATTGTTTCCTTTGTTTCTTCGGCTTGGTAAGTAAGTTTCCAGCACCATCTTTCATTGGTTTTACCTGTGCTGTGCTGTGCCGTGCTGTGCTGTGCTGTGTTGATCTCTTCCCTCCCAGATTCTAACCTGGTTATTTGATATAGTGTTATCGGGTCTCTGTTTCTCCTACCTGCAGCCTGTTCTGATTCACTTCGAGGTGTTTCGTAAAGGTGTCTTTTGTGTTTGTTGGCAGTTTCCTTCAGTTCTTTGTCGAGCGTAATGTTTTCTAGGTTGTGTTCAGTTTCTCTTTTCGTTGTCCATCCCTACACTGCCTTTTGGTGTACTGGTCCATCTTCTGCTTTACAATCAGCACCTTCCTCCCCTCCTCTACCAGCTTCCATGTGTCTGTTGAGATGCCTTCTTTGTCTTGTCTTGCTTCTTCTTCCTTCGTAGCCTGGTGATGTAGGTTTCTTTCCACATAGCTTTCAAACATTTCCGGTGTTCTACCATTAAGATTTTTCCAAGGATTTTGCTCAATATCTCCCATATTTCCCGATGACTTCCTATGTGATGTCCCTTGCAGTTTCGTGCTTAACTTTCTGTTCTAGGTGTTCAACTTGAACTGTGTTCTGTCTCCATCTTCGTTGAAGGCTTTCAACTTGATTTCGTAGTCAGGTTCCTTGCACTAGATGGTGAGTGGCGTGAAGCTACATCTTGTTTGTATCCAGTACGCTGCGTCTCCATTTTCTTCACATGGAGTCGATCTGATTCTTATCGTGTCCTGGTGTCTGGTGAAATCTATGTCGCTTTATGAATATCCCTGTGTTTGTACACACTGCCTGACTCCAATCACCGAATAATTAGAGGTGGAGAAGTCTGCAAACAGTTGTCCATTCTCACCCATCTTTTCACCGAGTGCTTGTTGATCCATGATGAATTATCTTCCTGTGTTGTTCACTCCCGGTTGGACATTTAGTTCACCCCACCCATTAGAATTTTCATGTTGCTATCTGGTGTGGGGTCTTGTTCATTACTGATTACAGTTGTCTGTAGAATTCCTACTTCTTCTATTCATCTGTATTATTTGTAGGTGTGAAGCATCGGCATTGAATGATTGTGACTTTCCTTCCTTTCGTGTTGAACCTTGCTGTCATGATCCTGATCCTGAAGGAGGAGATTGATTCCTACTGCATGAGAGACAGCCTCCGATGCTCTTGGAAGGGGGATATCATGATGACCACTCGAAATTCAGTGTGCTCGTGGTTGTCGTCTGGTTGACGATATTGGAGTAGATTATTGACTCTGCAGTTGACAGTTTGGAGAATCCACTTCCATTCCATCTGCTTTCTTAGATTCCTAGTCTAGCACTTTTGTGTCATACCTTCTCATTTCTTTTACAATCTGGTTAGCTTTACTAGGTTCATACATTGTGCCGACATTCTATGTCCGTATGTTTACTTTTGCCTTCATCGAGAGAAGACAAATTAGTCAATTGGCTTCCAGGAGGCTTTGACCAACTGGGGTCATTTCGTCTCTCGAATTCCAGCAAGGAATGAGTTTAATTTTATGTTTTATATTATCTTTGTGCTTTGAAGTTTGTTTAGCGATTTGATTTGTTTTCCGGGGTAGGGTTGCTAGTCCTATTTCCAATCTTCCTTCTTTATCCGGGCTTAGGACCGGCTAGTAACTAGTGAAATGGTTAATAAGGCGAGATTGCCTGAAGATATATCATCAGTATATTATATAGATAGGAAAAGAACTTCTTGAATCAAGTGTGATGTAACTTCCCTATCGACGACGACTTCTATAAACAGTTCAAGCCTGACAATTTCGTAGGTCTCGATTCGAGACCATCCACAGTCATACGAGAAATGTAACATATTCGACCACGCTGTGATGGAAAGATGCTTGAAAACTGGCAAGCTTAGTTTCCCATCACGTAAATATCTTGCTTCCGAGACTACCTGTAACCTATTTCCCCCCATATTTCTTTGACCGATGATTGGTCTATATGGGAGTTTAGTTAGTTTATTGTAACGCGTCTAGAAGGTGACCGCTTGATGATTCTGCCATTCTACAACAATCCTTTTCTCCTTCAGTAGCTCAGTTGTATGGAATGAATATTTGGAGTTAGGAGTTAAGTCCTGAAATCAACTATCTACTTATTTCTGCAAAGATTTTGGCAGTGGTGACTTTGAAGTCGTTCGCTGTTCGCTGGTGACTCCGATGTTTACACAGGGAGATGTTATGATAGGTCACTGGTGACACAATAACATAGTAGAAGGTGGAACGTGTTTGTTCACTTTTGACTTTCAGTTGTCATGTGTGAACGCCCGAAACTAAACAAAAATAACACACAGGAGAACATACTGTGAACTGATTGGATTGATAAGCGTTTCGTTGCATGCTGAAGTTAACTACAGGGTTCTTGAGAGTCAGACACTGCTGGACAGTTATCCTGACGTAGTTTTGAAGCCTTTAGAAGTAAATATTTACAACCAAGGATGGTTATGTTTCACAGCACGTAGCTCGCCATTCAGCAAGTCAATTCGGAGCTGATGACGTAATAAGGTCATTGTCTCATATCCCTGGTGGACACCTGTATCTACCTGTGACCTACTAAACCCATCAGAACCTCAAAAGAATCCCTATTTCAGAGTTTGTACGTGAAGGATACTGAATTATTGCCCAGTCTGTTACTTTATTAGGGATGGTGTGTGAACGTGAACTTCGTATTTTCCTGGGTTTATTGTATTGTAATGGATAATTTATTGATTTTGACACTTGAGCTCTAGAATAACAATAAACAACAACTGATATCCGTTGCGCAGCAGGTAGTTCATATGGCTAAGTTGACTAATAGATAGTTGCCATTGCGTTTGGAGAGATGGATACCGAGTTCAGGCTTCAGGGTGGTGGAATACACACCAACACTCGCTTAAATCCAGGCATTTCCAACTGATGAGTTCCAAGCAGGACAAAGTGCTCCTCTTGGATTTCACCACTGCCTACGATTTTTCCCAATTGACGTATCTGTAAGCAAATTAGCAGGCTGAAGCTATCATTCTTGCGTGAGGATTTACACCGACTAGATAACATTCAAATGTGAGGGAGTGCTGGAGAGCTGTCTAGGTCTTGTCTGAGACGCTTTTCAAAGCGGTGACCAATATCATGTCTTCCAGCCTTAAGTGGTGACCGGATTCTATCGACCGTTTCACCAGGCTAGGAGACTAGTCATCTTTGTGCACTTTGATTGATGTTGGGCGGTCTAAGGCAGCCGGCAGCAGGTCCTGACCCACATAGGTTCCATGCTTGTTGGCATCACCTATTGCTGCAGTTAGAGAAGTTAAAACTAAGGTATTCTGGCTGATGTTGGCTGCCTACCGGATGAGTTCAAATCTCTCAATGGAAGTCAATCCCTTCGAGGATTAGAAGACACCTTGATGGTGAGTGCTAACAAGCGCAAAACTGACATCAGGCAGGTCTTTCTGAGGATCACTTTAAGTTATCTGGGAGTGCCAGCTGGCTTTAAGTCAGTCTGCCACTGATGTATATGCATCGGAAAAGAAACAACTTTTTATGACTAGGACATAAGTCATACTCTCAATAATGTGCATAAGGCGGCTTTTTCACTACCTTTGATCGAGTTTAAAGAGAGAAAACAACCGAATTTTTCTGACCATTACGGTCGATAAAACATTCATCCATGACAATTAGTTTCAACAAAGTTTTTAATCAACAGTAAGCAAAATATAGTTTAAAAACTGTTCAACATTTAATCAACTTTATTGTCTTGTAATTATACCTTAAATGAACTCAGTCAGAATTTATGAAGAATAAAGTTAGTAAATAATATTCAAGTAATATTACAAACCGTAATTATCGATCGATTTATTTATTTTGGTAGCTACTGACTAACATAAAAAGAATAGCATAAAAGAAGCCAATTTTCAAAAGAAGCATCCAATCAAGTTGATTCATTTCAAACAATTTTTGATCAATGCACGAACTGATCAATGTTCAAGTATAAAAAAGTCATACTTCATTCATTTTAACATTTGGTCAGGTATATGTTTCAGTTTGCGTTTGGCGCTTCCTTTGTTTAAATGCATAAATCTTCATTTAAATTCATTGCGCGCGAATATTTGTAGCGTTCTATTCAAATTTGGATTTCAGAAAGTTAGAATAATAACAAATAATTATAACAATTACATGCTTGATAAGTATGGAGTTAGTGGATCGTAATCAGTCAACAGTGTTGAAACAAACGATGAAAAATTCAGTGAATGTTGTGAGTAATAAATTTTCAAGAATAGACAGTCAATTAATAAATGAGAAGTTGAACAAAAAATGGACAATGAAAACACTGGTAATGAAGTAAACTGTTGATTTTTTTCCTTCTCATTTATGTCTTTTTATCATAATTGATGCATTTTCGTCATTATTATTATTTGTCCCTTGAGTTCCTAGTGGAACATAGGGCTATAGTAGCACGTCTCTAGTGCACTCTGTTCTCTGCAATCTTTTGAACCTGCCTCCACGACTGTTCACAAGCTCTCATTTCTTCCTCACACGATCTCCTCCATATCACTCTCACCTTGGACGCCCAACTCACCGTTTCCCATCTGGGTTTCACTCGAGTGCCTGGAGCATGATGTTCCCAAGTGGTACATTTTCGTTAAGGGGTAGTAAAAAGATTATCAATTTAAGGCTTTGCGAAGACTGGTTGATTCCAATGATGTCTTCATCTGGAACTGATGTCAATTAGGGGCCCATTTTGCACTTAAATGCATTATACAGGTATTTCATCCCGGCTTAGTGCTTTTCATCAGTGTTTACTTGAAACTTTGTGAAGGAGCAAGCTAAGTGTTGTTATTTCTCACAGTGATCACGTTGTAAGTCAGTCAATGCACCAAGATTCAATCGTCTACTTATGATATAATGGAATGAACATGAGTTTACACTGTTGAAAACTTTTTTTTCTTTGTCTGTATGCTTCAATAATGTGCAGGCAAGTTGATATCACAAGTTTTCACTAGCGACTATTTGCATAGATGGTCTTAATGCTTTGCAGTTTTACAAGTAAACGGAACGACACAACAGGCAACTTTAATTTGTAGGAGATCAAAGTGTCTGTTGTGGTGTGAAAACGTGGATCGAACTGACAGTAGAGGATGAAACTATAATCTTCGTCAAAATACCGTGATTGATTAGTGGAAATGATTGTGGTTAGTGATATGCTGTTTTCCAATATTTCCTCAAAAATGACCTTTTATTCAGTCTAGTGACATGGGCTAATACTGAAGCCATTGAGAATTCTGAATCGGAATATATAAGCATCATCCCTCCTACACTGAGATTTGTGCATGGACAAAAGACTGTCTCACATGGTCCACTCAAAGATATCAATTCACTCTTCTTTTCCAAGACATCTCAACTAGGATTGAGATGAAAAGATGTGATTGTGTAGCCGATGGGGGTGATGATAACGCCGAAAAAGTCGCTTTGGTGTTTAAGTACCACTTAAAAAAGGTCAACATTTAGTCCTGCAATCTATTGGATTAGTGGAAGATGTTGGTTGAGTAGAGGTGCTTCATTGTATTCTCCTTTAACGCTTGAAGCTCAGTATTTGGAGGCTTTCTGATGAATGGATTCATTGGCATCAACTGCTGTATAAAACTGATCGATGATTGAAGAGTGTCGTATTTACCTGTCAACACTGAATAATCTACAGATAGATAAGCAGTCGGGGTCTTGTTTTCATAAGTAACTTTACCACTTTGAAGGACAGATGACAAGTACGTTTCTTTCACTTGTCATAAAGTCAATGTTTTGCTCAAATATTGAACCATCTCATCACCCGGGTTGGCACTTCTTATTCCTACACTAAGATGTCCTTAAAATTCCTCTTAATATAGTCTGTTGTATTCAGGAAAACACTTCAAGGGCTCCTCTGACAGACTCATGCTTCAGTGATTCACAAACAGCGTTTACGTTCATGTGTCTGTTGTTTACTGGGTTTCAGCGAATGATACTCCTCTATGAAGAATCCGGCATTGTTTAATTGTTATCTTCCATATATTATATACTCATACTATTGAGTATGTTTGTCAAGTTGCTTTCAAGAAGTGCAAAATTTGCAAAAACCTTTCTCGAACAATCGATATATGCTGAATTATCCAGAAAATAAGCATAAGATCTAATGTTTCAACTGAACAGAGATTCGGATGACAAAATCAATTAGAAAAGTCCTTCAAGAGAGTAATACTGCCAAACTATTGGACTATGGGCTGAAATTCCCTATGGAAGGATAAACTATAAAACAGTACGGCGACCAGAGTCAAGCTGCAGTTATTCTGATTGATAGAATTTGGTAGTTAGTTTCCCGTGACTGTAAGAAATTATTAGAAGCCTGTGCTTGACATTAAATATACGCTTATAAGGATTTGTCAAGATATAGTATTTCCACGTATCGAACTGATTCTCTGTGAGAAGCTCAAAACTTCATCATTCGCTGTTAATACCTCAAAGGAATGCAACTGATCCCCAGTCCCTTAGGTTAATGCATACACTTCACATGTGCTCAAACTAGGAAGTGTAGAATTCATTACCTTCCAGTGGCCTATTGATCATTACACGTTGAACAGCTACTCAGCACAAAGAGTCAAGAAAGTAGTGTTATCTACACACCATCATATATCTAAATATAGTCTGTGTCAGCTTTATGCTGTGAAGGGAGCCACAGTACAGTATTTGAATCAGAAAAAAGGTATGGTATCAAACCTTTAGCCAGAACTTGTCGTTTGTTCACCGCTTCCCTCAGTGATGTGATAGATAACCGGTTATTCTGGCACCCGGGCAGAAGGCTCACTGTAGAAATTTCCGTATTCAACCCAAGTCGACTCTTTTTATTATATATCATTAAGATACTGTTGAAAACTTCTTTATGCATCAATACTATTACTACTACTACTACTACTACTACTACTACTACTACTACTACTACTACTACTACTACTACTACTACTACTACTACTACTACTACTACTACTACTACTACAGCGGACGCTGTTGATCAGAATGGATATTAGAAGTATGTGTTGAGAGGGTGGCATAAATTGTAGGGAGTTACCTCTGGTGACTCCACTGCGGCTAAAACTTTACCCATTAGCTGCCTGGTGACCCTGACCAGCTGACTAATATTCATGGGTTGAACTGCCTTCACTAGTCGTAGCTGCTGAGCGATGACATTTAGGACACTTCGGTGAATTGTACAGCCAGCAACTGCTCCTGGGAGTCCTGATCCAAAGTGCAAAGTGCTTGTCGACGTAATTTTATCAACTTCACAGCCAATACTAGCGAATCTTCGTCTATTCCAAGTTTTGTGTTCTGGAACCGCTGTATCGCCAACTTCCTGTCTGTTGGGCTGTCGAACGCCGTCTCCAGTTGTCCAACTATTCTCTCCCAAGTCTCCTTCCCATCCACACTTTCCACGCCGTCACATGACGCTTTCACTGTACCCCTCAGCACGTGCCAAGCATCACGACCTTCGCTCACGGATTCCGGACACCTACCAGCTTCCTCTCCGACTAGAAGTCTCTGCGGAAGACCTTGATGTTTCCATCCTTGAACACTGCAGGTCATGGAATCTTCATCATGTCCAAAATCAGCAACACTAATTGTAGGAAACGACAAGACTGAGACACAAGAAGGAATGTTTATTACTGACATCATGTACAGTAGTCATCAACCATTGTAAATTTTCCACTAAGACATTTGCACAATGCGCCTCATTTCCTCTTTTGCTTCTATCTCGATTTGCTCTTAATACGCCCACATTGTTTCTTGCTCTCCTGTGGTCAAAATCTTTATCCATTGTTGGTAATTCTCTATGATTCCTGCTGCCCTCTCAACGTATACTACTTATATTCATTGTGATCAGGAGCGTCCATTACTACTACTACTACTACTACTACTACTACTACTACTACTACTACTACTACTACTACTACTACTACTACTACTACTACTACTACTACTACTACTACTACTACTTCTCAGATCACTACTACCACTGTTCATTGTCATTGTTTTACCTTTTTTTCGCTTTCTGTTAGTTTTGACTAGCTCATTCCTTAATTTTCGATATTTCGTCGTTTTGAATTCTCATTTTATTTACTGATAAGGTGTGGAAAGTTGAAGCATTGTGCAACACTGCCTAATCTTATGCTGACTGATTGATTAAGAACCATATAGTCTCATAAAGTTTGAATTGAATCTCTTTGTTCGTTGGCGGTGACTTCATTAATGTTGAATTTTCGTCTAAAGTCAACTTGAAACATGTTAGGTCAATCATCTTTACTTCTGTCTCCCCCTTCATTGTTAACTTAATTTTGAAAGTATATTTATTATAGTGTTTCCATAGGAACATATAAATAAATTTATGAAAGATAATAATGACAATAGTGTTGTGTTAAGTGTACTCATAAGTACCACAATATGTTGTATAGGTACAAATATTTTTCTCAAGTGTAATGCAGAATGATGCCTTCTTTAAAGTATGAGGTTAAATGTTGATCATCATCATCAATATCAACATAGGACCAGGCATTACTGCATAACGGTCCCAGTTGCCACACCTCATATCGGTACATCAAATAGAAAGGTAGAGAGGTGAGGGATGAAGATAAGAGAATGCAGTCAAAAGAAATATAAAGTATGAGAAAAAAGAAAGGGAGAATGACGAAATGGTGAGAATCGGCCTAATATTAAGATGAGGATAATGTGTGTGGGGATACATCTGCTCCACTGACATTGGTTCTCAGCCATATCACCTAGAGCCAGTTTCCAACCATTGGTTTCTCCTGTCGCGCAGACCCCAACTGGCTAGTCTGCATCGTCCCACATGGTTCAAACCAACAGTCAGAGACTTCATGTATTGGTGTCATGTTTTAATCTGGTCACCTCGGGTTTTTTTCCAGCCTGGACCTAGTTCGGTCAACATTATATGTTGGTTAAATGTCGGTTAAATGTTCAGTTTTGAAAAAAATGTTGAGGAATAAGTGTCCAGATAATTTCACTTTGTAAATTTTAAAGATGGTTATATCACTGTAAGTCTGAGAAACATGTGGTCATTTTATAGCATAAAATAAAAACATAGTATTCTGTTGAAAATTTACCAAGACGAAGAAAGAAAACGGAGAACTAGGTCATGACTAACATTTAAAGCTTAGAAGATCAACTTACAAATAAAAACAAACAAACGGTAAACTTCATCTTTAAACTTTAGTTGATTTAATAGATGTATCATATAGTGAAACAGGACTATTTACTGGATTACGTTCGGTGCCGAAAAACAATGATTCAGTT